TAGGCAACAAAGAGTGGTCATAGATGGGTATAAGTCTAATTGGAAAACATTACAGGCAGGGATACCCCAAGGTTCAGTCCTTGGTCCTTTTTTTGTTTTTACTATATATTAATGATATTGGTGATGAATTGGCCTCAAACTTCAAACTATTTGCTGATGATACCTCCTTATATGGTTTCATTGAGGGGCAAGAATGTGCTAATATATTAAATGATGATCTAAGGAAAATTTCAATCTGGGCTAGAAAATGGGGAATTATCTTTAATCCAGATAAAACTGTAGCCCTGCTCCTCTCGAGGCGGGTTGACTCTGAGACACTACATCCTAACCTATATTTTGATGAATCGTTAATTATTAATGTTTCAGATCATAAACACCTAGGTTTGTTTTTCAACAGCAAGGCTAATTGGTCTAACCACATAAACTATATATACGAAAAAGCTTATAAAAGAATTAATATACTTAGAATGTTGAAATACAAAATTGATAGAAAATCACTCGAAACTATATATATCACATTTATACGTCCAATTCTGGAATATGCAAATATTATATGGGCAAACTGCACGCAGAATGAATGCAGTGTCTTGGAGTCTATCCAACTAGAAGCAGCACGTATTATCTTAGGGTTAAGACGTGGAACAAGTCATGCTATCTTATATAGAGAATCTGGTTTTATAACACTTAATAGAAGAAGACATTTGCATCAAAATATTACTTTTTATAAAATATATAATAGGAAATGTCCCTCTCATGTCTATGATATAATTCAACCGTACATTAATGATAATACTGACAATTAAATTATCATCTTCGCCACAATAGAATTTTTGATGTTCCTATACCAAGAACTCAGTTATAAAATGCTAGTTTTTCCCGAAACTGATGTCTGAATGGAATAATCCAATTTGCCTGTATCCCCCAATGACATCCATTGGATCTAAAAAAAGAGATTTTTTTTATACACTCAGATGAAATGGATTCTCAACCCCAATGTACTTATATTTTTAAATACAATGGTGATCGAAAATTTAATATTACCTTATGTCAACTTAGAAACTGTGCCAGTAACCTGATTTCAGATCTATTTGAATCTCACCTAATTGATACCCCTGCCTGCTTAGGTAGTTCTCCTGCTGAGGATTGTGATCACTTCTTCTTCCATTGTACTCTGTATACTAATCAAAGGCAAATTCTCCTGAACTCCATTTCTGCTTTTAATGACATTATTCCATTAAATACTCAGACTTTTCTTTATGGATGTCAGAGACTCGATATCAATATGAACATAAGTATCTTGGAGATGGTTAAGAGATTCGTTGAAGATACAAGACGCTTTAACTAGATTACACTTACTTGTTTATCTCATGACTTTGCTGTATGGAATGATACCAGTACATAATTGTACTATGTGCTGTCCACCAGCATAATTTCAATTGCCATTTTTTGTAAAATCTAGTTTTTGTACAACCATTACCAAAAAAAACAAAAAAAATGACATGCAAATATCAATATTCATGTACATAATATATATGTTTTATCATTACTTCAATTCAATATGATGTGTGTAAACTGTTAATAACTGTAAGGAGAGGGCGCTCATAGGCTTTGCCTGGTTCCCAATTCCTTTGTATCTAAGATCTGAACAATGAATGTTCTGAAATGAAAAATATACAGACATCACTTCTAGAGAGAAGTATACATGAAACATAGGTGGTTGTGTTTTACCAGATTGTACAAAGAATGATGTGCTTCCGAGATAAATGTATTTAACTCTAAATTTGAAATTTGCTCAATATGGACAGGTAGTCTAAGCATTGAAACGCGAAACCTTAATAAATTATTTCAAAATGACAATCATTCATGTGCAGTTTTATACATAAGTTCGGTTTATAACTCGAATCTTAATCCGATTCCCCGTTTGTTTGTCTCTGAAATTCTATAAATAACTGCTTGTTATTTAGCCTTACGTCATTGTCTCGGGCCGACGGGGGTATATTGGCGGTTTTGTTTAATAAGGTATAGCTAATTTAATAATGAAGCGCAGATGAGGCAAGTCTCGTTGAACAGGTCGCTAGTAGATAGCTTGCTGTTTGAATGATTAACATACTATTTTTTGGTAATATTCCATTTGTTAGTGTTTGATCAGTTGTATTTATAAAATCAGTGTTTTTCTGGTAAGACTGCTTGTAACTTAACTAAGTGAAGTTAACCTGATTCGTTATCAAATTGATATTTTTGTAGATAGAGCGATGATATATGCCTTATAATTATTGTTGATTAGTTAATATTAAAAGTAAAAAATCTCATTTGAGCACTTGTCAAAACCAAGCATTGTGACGCACTGTAACCTGTCAAAACCGAACAATGTGTCATGTAATGTAACCTGTCAACAGCGAACAGTGTGTCATGTACTGTAACCCGTCAAAACCGGACATTGTGATGTCATGTAACCTGTCAACACCGAACAGTGTGTCATGTACTGTAACCTGTCAAAACCGGACATTGTGATGTAATGTAACCTGTCAACAGCGAACAGTGTGCCATATACTGTAACCTGTCAAAACCGGACATTGTGATGTCATGTAACCTGTCAACACCGAACAGTGTGTCATGTACTGTAACCTGTCAAAACCGGACATTGTGATGTATTGTAACCTGTCAAAACCGAACAATGTGTCATGTAATGTATCCTGTCAACAGCGAACAGTGTGTCATGTACTGTAACCTGTCAAAACCGGACATTGTGATGTATTGTAACCTGTCCTAACCAAACAATGTGGCATGTACTGTAACATGTCAAAACCGGACATTGTGATGTAATGTAACCTGTCAACACGGAACAGTGTGTCATGTACTGTAACCTGTCAAAACCGGACATTGTGATTTATTGTAACCTGTCCTAACCGAACAATGTGTCATGTACTGTAACATGTCAAAACCGAACACTGTGATGTATTGTTACCGTCACCTACTATTTTGATTCTTTCCCGTCAAATCTGAACACTGTGCTATGTAATCTGTCAAAACTAAACAATGTGCGATGTAACCTGTCAAAACTGAACATGTTTGATTTAAATGTAACCTGTCAAAACTGAACGTGTGATATTAAGTGTTAAAACCGAACACTGTGCAATGAAACATGTCAAAATAGAAAACTTGCAATTGTGTGATGTTACGTGTCAAAAACCGAACACTGATGTTACGTGTCAAACAACGAACACTGTGATGTAACCTTTGAAAACCGAACTTATGGTCGTATCTGTCAAAACCGAAAAATGTATATTGTTACAGTGTACCTGTGAAAACCAAGCACTTCGGTAAGTAATCAACTTGTTTGTGATCGACTTTCCTTTCCATGGTTTCGTTTCTCTACATTGTATAAGCTCTAATGATGTAATATGTGTTGTTTGGCCGTTAAGAGTGCAATAACTAACAAACTGGAGGATATTGTTCCTAAGGGATTTTTTCGCGTGCATGTTGTTTTACGGCCCATCGAAAACACACGTGCATGCACATCTTAATCTACGGGGTTCTAAGGATGGGTTAACTGATGTTATGTGTAATGTGCCGGTTGGAGTGACATACTACCGTGTCTTACCTATGACTTTACAATAAGATGCACGTGTTAGTGACCTTTTAGTGGCGAAACTGTCCTTATATAACCTTTAATGTACCCAAAACAAACACATTTCTAGCCGACTAATGCAAACCTCTCGCGATATACTATACATTTCAATGATGTACTTTTTACATTCAGGAAGCATTTAAGATAGACATTCAACGAGTTTATTTTTTTCTAAACCTGTTCATCATTAATCAAATACCGTATTGGTACATTATGGTTTGGTAATAATCCGACTGATTGCATTTTGTTGAGATCTAGAATTTCTAGTAGTTTTCTTACATGCAATGTAAAGGTTTTAGCGCCAATAGCGACCAATCTTGCAAAACATATCGAACCAATAAGTAATGAAAAAAATATGTAGTAAGCATTACTCGACCGATTTTGTACGTACATCATCAAAGCTTCAGATAAGGATTGGCGGCGCCTGTGCTTACTGGAGCTGCATGCATACTTGATATGAACAAGCACACTTAAGAAAACAAAGAGTTTTAACTTCTATCCTCACGTTTATCTTTTACACTTGATAAAATAATTACAATCTCCCAGTTATTTAGAGAGAACCCTTCGTACAACAACAGATAGTTTATTTGACGCTGATCAAACTTCCGCTTTTACTAGTTGTAACTCGAGTTTATTGCTTTGATAACAGAAATATAAAACACATTTCTTATCTACTAAGAATCCCATTCTCTTAATTCGGTTCCAGAACCACAAGCCGCCTTTTAAATGGTTCATTAACTTCTTGTTATATTTTCTATCTCAACATCTAAAGTCGGTGTTACAGACCTGGCTCACGTGAGCACGTGAGGTGAATTATTTAGAGCTTTATATATTATAGTTATCATGTAAATGTACATTTGTAGACACCTCCTAGTATATTAATCATTGTCGAAATAAACAGAGGTATTTTGGATACAATTACTCTTATCTTTGAATGTTTCGCTCTAAAGAACATATTTATCATTTCTGATCATTTCAAACGATTTATACGAATAGTTTGCATCAGTAGACATATGTTTCATATCATATATAGAGGAGTTACGGCAACATTAGGCTAATGAAGAAATCCACGAACACTGTTTACCGACTTAGTTTAATTGAAAGATATTTCCAGGTGTCAGCAAATGAGTACAAAGGACCAATCCCTAGCAATAATATGTGCCCAAGCCCTAGATAAACAATGTGGTTATAATGTGTAGCATAGTTTATTTTCCCTTCAGAATATGAGTAAAGAGGCTATTTTCAGATGTACAAGAACAGTATGTTCTTTTTGAAATTTATTTTAAAAATCAATGGACTTAATGTCCAGGTGGGGGTTTTGCATGTTGCATGTTCCAGTGTATAGGTGAATATGGGAGCGCCAGATTCTTACCTGTGGAATGCTCGCGACGAGGCTAAAACTCCAGGCTAAAGTCAGCATTATTTTCCCTCGTTTATCGGCATCATTTAAACTTAACGGATGCAAAATAGCGAAATAACGGTCCAGGCTTATAGTCACAAGGATAAAGGAAGAAAGGTAAAGTCCGAACGCACGAAAAAACATGAGAATCCTACAGGTCAAGTCTCCAGCGGTCCATGCCACGGTGATGTGCCACGATATCTCCATAGGTAACATGATGAAGGTAACAATGAGATCGGCAATGGACAGGTGTAAAATGAACAGGTTGACTCGGGATTTTACGTGTCTGTTCCTAAACAATGTGATGAATACCGTAAGGTTACCACATGCGGCTACCACAAACAGACAGGTGTAGGCAGCCACCGCCACCACACTGTTGTCATTGAAAGTCATATCATGGGGGAGCCCTGCCACAGGGACGGGCTTACACATGGTCAAGTTTCCCGGGTATTCTGTTACATTTTCAGACCCCAAGGGTACACACGCGATAGGGGTGGTCACCTGTGACGTCATCACCGGAAACTCCTGAAAGTTATCCGAACTTTTATTATGGAATGTTGAAAAGATACTATCCTGATAGTCCATCATCGATCTGCTTGAAAATTCCGAAAATAATCACATGTTATCAAATACAATCTTTCCAATCTTCAAATATGTAAAATTACATCACTATTTTAAAGTTCACTTGATACATAAGTCAAATGTAAATAGTTCCGGACGGCTCTATGTCATTCATCCTATTAACGGCATCACCGAGAACTTGGGCTGGCAATTATACTAATCATGTCTGATACGGTTCAGATCAATCTCTCCGTGATAAGTTCAGATGCCTAGGCTCACCGTCATTTACATTTTATCCTATCTGAATCACTAATGAAACTGTCAGCTCACACTGTTCCAAAAGAAAGAAAAAAACACCTCTTCGATACGACGACATGCGCAGTAGGCACGTTGCTATTGATGGCTCCTAGGTATAGTACGTACTGAGAAAGCCGGTATTACCGCTCTCTACGGCGAGCTGTGTCAGTCGCTGTATCATTGGGGGGCCTGATCGATGCTAATCCCCACTATTCAGCAGTTCTCACCACTCACAGAATTCTTGGTCATAGCCGAAAGAAGTCAACGTCTCCCCGCTATCTTGGGGCGGTCGACGCGTCCACAGCGGTAATTTCATCATATTGTTATGTTATTGATACAAATATATTTGGCAAACTACCATAATGGCACTCAAATTCGGACCTTTATCTTTTGTATCATTGATTTTCGCCATACGCTGTCCAGTCGTCTGTTCTATTGTAATATGATCGCTGAGACTGAAGACGTCCTTATGCGATTCGAAAAAAGGTGTTGTATAAAACAAACATACAAATACCCTTAACATTAAAAAATCTTTGCTGAGTGTCAAATTGGTTCTCATCGCAGGCTATCTAACTCCACTCAGCGGCTTATTTTGCGATACCATTACTTAGCGATTTAGCTGGTCAGTCCACATCTGTTTTATACCCAGAATATTTAACCTTCAATTTCGCGCGTCGTTGTCTGTGAATGTTCATCTGAAACTAGTTTCATGGTGTTGGTTCACTGCATTTAATATGATAAAGTTTGCTCTCTTATTGTACACAGACATACACTATCTAAATTATTTAATACAGTCGGACGTACGTATCCTACCAGAGGCACAGACTTTCTTTCTTTTTTTATACATGCAAACGGTGGATAATAAACGGTCTCACTCCACTCGGCTAGCTACTTAAAAAAATCACACCAACACAAATGTACTATTTTCCGCTAGCTCGCCGAATGGACGTAGGGCGGCGGGCGTTTGATCAATATACAACGTTATATACCACTACATATATACATTTCAAAAACATGAGATTGACGACTAAAATGTACCAATGATAATGCGGGCTAAACAATGCTCCATATATACGTCAAAAAGTGTACATCTCCAATTTTGACTGCGAAAACACTCGTTATGAACCCCCGGTCATCGAAATCAACCTGCACGCCCAGGAAAAACCGGAGATAGCCCCCGGAAACCTGTATCCAAAAGCGGGAATAACTAATGACAAAAAATAAAACGCGAAATAACACGAATACAACTGTGATTATCGTGAACAAAAAGCCTGTTATGCACATAACAGCGCAAAAAAAAAATGTCTGTGCCGTTGGAAAAGTTTAAGCGAACTATACGTTCTGCTGAGGCGACTAGAAATGACATACCATGGTCATACACACTATCGCCATTGTACCAGGAACACGCGTACGTCACAGCACGCGACCGCTCATGCGGAAAACCAGCCCAAATGCCGCACGAGACAAATTATTTCCGCTATACTGCGAACCGTGGGAATATTTAATTATTATACATCATCTTTATAACAGCGTGTCTGATTGGATAATATTGATCACATGACCGGATAATAATCATCAAGCTCTCACGCGCTCGAGTTTCCCGACCATATCTTCCTTGATCTCTAATATTTACTAATTCAGAATACAACTTTCAGAATGAGATAAGATAAAACTTCATTTAAAGTCGGCTAGTCGAGGAATAACAATATAACACAAGCTCTAATGAGATTAAGACCGACATATCAATAGAGAGACCGGGGCAAGTTTCCCCCCCCCCCCCCCCCCCATTTTTTAATTCAATAGCAACGTTTCGTTTGTTTACATACAGTGTAACGTCATTGGTTTCATTCATGAATATAAAGAGGCCTTGACCTTTAGAAACATGACCTGATACAATGATTCGCAGCCATATGTTTTATTTTCAATGCACAAAAACTGTGACCTACCTTAATCTCAACATTTCCAATCAAACCTTAATGAAAATGACAAACCAACAATAAACCGTGCATGCAGTTGCAATGCGGACCTGCATGTTATCTATTTCTGTCCATACCTATAGTCCGTTTCAACCTTTGTGGTAAACCATATTATATTTTTAATAATTGAAAAATATAAATATATATTATTTCACTGGAAATAAAATCTTTTTAGGATGATGAATATGTGACTTACTCATGTTTTTGTTTTTCAATAAATAACTATGTAAAATTAAACTTATATTTGCCACTATACATTGTATTCAGATCATAGTCCATATTTGTTTTTAACTTTGTCTTTCAGAATTAGCAAACGAAAATATCACGGAGGTGCATTACTTAGTGTCTATCAACATGTCACAACTCAACGGTGAAGCGATAAGGAAACATGAAAGAATGTTTTGTATACCAGAGTGGACGACCCTTAGAGCTCGCATCCACATTCCTGTACTGCTTTTCTAAGACAAACGAGTAACAGTTGAGTAACAGTTTGCCGACCACTTGAACAAAATGGTCTGAAGTTGATGCTCCAGGACAGTACCAGAAATGGCATGCAGCTTGGCGAACAATTTTGTTTTATTTTGTTTATCGTCCTATTAACAGCTAAGGTCATTTTAGTACGTTCCTCTTTGTGTTATGTATGCGTGCTGAAGGGGTTTGTTGTTACGATAACCCCAAAATATAAACGTTACGTAGTATTCGGGTTGGTTCCTGAAGTTAAGCGTCCTATGAACAGCTGAGGTATTTGAGGGACATGTCCCAGGCGTGCCAGATGTTTACCAGCTCAGCAATGGTTAAAACATATACGATCTGACGAAAAGAAGGGACACGTACAGAACATTCCATGGTATGGACCAATTTCTAAAAGATATTTTATAATCTTTCGCTAGATTGTATCGAACAGAGTTTTCATATCAGCCATATCGTAATATTTGTCTCGAAAATGTCTTTAATCAGCACTTTCGATCAATATGTCAGACAGTCATAATAATGGTTGTCAACAAAATTGAATGGAAAGAGGGTGATCCTTTAATAATGATAATAATAATTCGAGGTTCTTATATACCGCTTTATCACAACCTAGTTCGTAGGTCGTCTCAAAGCGGTTCACAAATTATTATACGAGGTTATAGGGCCTTTGCAACCAGCCAATATCTTTTTCAACTCCTTAGTGAGCATGCAGCCGCTGCTGCCATTTCGGCGCTCACAGCTAGCATTCTACAATTCTAGCACCACCCAATCACGTACTCATTTACAGCTAAGTAGACTGGAACAAGCGGATTAAAGTGTCTTGCTCAAAGATACAACCAAGTGCCGTGGCGTGACTGAAACCCGCAACCCTTCGGTCAAGAGCCCGGCGTCCTACCACTAGACTACCGTGCCTCCATAGAAGTCACGGTAGTCTAGCCAGAATACATCAGATAAATAAATACATGTATGTTCTGTGTGAAAGTCGTGAGAGGCGATCTCCTCTCTACAGTCTTGTTTGATATGGTATTTGAATGGTGCGTATTGCAAAACTTTAATTGTTAATATTATTAATAAAGCAGAGTAAGGTATTCTTTGGTTGATTGTTAAGTTTTGCTTTTGCAGCTTTATGATATGTCATGCAATAGGCCAATCTTTCAGATTCGTAATTGACAATAGAACACACCTGCTTATTGACCATAGGTTGTAAGAGACGACTTATCGGGTAACTCAATGCATCACCCATTAAAACATTTGGAGTATGTTTATATTATCTCCATTTCTTATATTTTGGATTCCAAAGTTCTTAAAAAGGGCAGTTATTTTTCCCTTATAAACGTTCAGCATTCAGAATATCGCAACAACTGCTCAGCGTTGGCAGTATAATAAAACGGATGTATTACACGTACCGTCCCGGGTGCCTTCGGAATGGCATTCAGTGAGGTAGCACCCAAAAGTCGGCATCATATCCGTGCTAAAATGCCAACATACCGCCTCCAGCACCCCATAGACACAAATAGGCACGTACTTGATACTCTTGGCTGTTACATGCAATGACTGCAGCAAATTGATTTGGTCGCGTTTGTGTCCCAAAGCAGAGGACACAAACTCAAATCCCCAATTATACAGGGGATTAATTACAACAGTAATGCTTAAAAAAAATATAATTACTTTTGTGAAATTTTGCAGGTTGTGTATAGGATAGAACAATAAACGTGTTTGGGTCTGTATGCATTTCACTCCTTCTGAATTAAAGACTGGCTTGTTCATATTTGATTTAGCTTCCTATTACATTAAGCTTAGGCCTTTTAGGGATGTGTTTCCTGTTGTTAGATGCATACGTGTATGTGTGTGTGATGGAGGCAATATGTAGATAGTGTTTGTTCCGGTTTAACGGCTCTTCTACACACACACATACACTCACCCTACCTCACACTTATGCGCTTAAAGCATCAATTAAAACACAAAGGTAACGATAAAAACAAACACAACCAATTAAAGCAAAACATACTTAAGTCCTAGAACGACGACACAGCTGTATGATGTTGAACTTTTTTGCATACTGTATCTATTACCAAATGTTGAAAATGCAGTCGCCTATTAATGGGTTACGTTCATCTTTATAAATAAAAACACCATACACCATATATCATAAACATAGTCTAGATCTCCAATTTCATCCATGCTGCAGTCCATGTTTGGA